CCCCGGTGCCAGGCCCATGCAGGGGTCGTGGGCTTGCCCTGTGGGAACAGGGTAGGGCCATGCCAGCCCCAGGCCGGCCCCTGCGCTTCTGGGGGCAGGAGCGGGGCCTGAGCTCTGCATACTGCACACTCACGCTGCAGGCATCCGCCTGGGAAACCTGTTCTCCCGACGCTCCACGCCCAATTCCAGACAGCTGGGTAATGCGGCGGGAGCCGCCCAGCCCATGGGCTGCAGGTGGGGCCCCAAGCCACCACTGCCCAGGCACAGCCCCCGCCAGGCCTGGGACCTCTCTAAGGCCCTGCAGTGTCGGGGGAGCCGGAGCCAATGGCCCCAGAGCCCCCTCGCTGCAGTCTCTCTCTATGGGGGCAAACCTTGGGGAGATGTCCTGCCAGGTGCCCGCAGGGCTCTGCTCCAGCTCAGGACCCTGGAGCTGCAATTTGCAGCTGTCTCCTGGCTGAGCAAGAGCCAGCTAGGCCCAGGATGCTCGCCCAAGCTCCTGCCCATGGAGGCCTCATAGTTTCATAGTAGCTCGGGTCAGGAGGGACCCGAACAGATCATCTAGCCTGATCCCCTGCCACAGGCAGGAATGAATGCTGGGTTCACAAGACCCCAGACAGGTGATCGTCCAACCTCCTCTTGAATTTGCCCAAGGTAGGGGCGAGGACCACTTCCCTGGGAAGTTGGTTCCAGCCTCCCATGGGTGGGCCTGGGGGCGGGGGGGGGCACGCCTGCCACAGGGGCCTGCTGGGAGACTGTCAGGCCTGCCCAGACCTCCGTGCATAGCTACAAACTGCTGAAACCCCTCTGCGGAGCAGCTGGAAAGCACAGAGCCAAGCACCATCGTTAGGGCCCAGAGTGAATACACCAGCAGGACACTCACGCCCTGTGATGCTGCATTTGCTGCAGTCTCTGGGCTGACACAATCCATGGGTCATGGGGCTGTCGCCCCGACATGGGAGGGGTCAGCATCCCCCCAGCCACCAACAAGCGCCCAGCACAGGGTCAGCCACCAGCACCTTTTATGGCCCTGGAAGCACAGCCCTTATCTGGGCTCCAGGCTATTCCTGGCATGGCCTGGCAGGGAGTGGGGGCCACGGGGCCGGGGGAGGCGAGGGCCCAGCCAGAGCCCGGGTCGGGGCAGCTCCTGCCCCCACGTACAGCCCGGAGCTCCGAGCCCAGGCGGGAGGGGACGTTAGGGGCAGGACTCGGGGGCGGGGGAT